GAATATTTTATATAAAATACTCGATTTGACCAATCATTGTTTGCTCGATAAAAAAAAATCAAATATTATTATGAATAATTTTTTCGATAAAATTAGAACTTCAAATATTACAAAAAAAATTTAAACAAATATATGTCTGTTTATATGCATTTTTTAATGATTTTTCATATTCTGAAAGGTAATAATATTAAAATATTTATATTGTATAATAACTCTAACGCATGTGTTTTAATGAATACAATCAAATAGGTTCAGTAAAATTATATTTAATTTATTATTCACAACAACTTTTTAGGGATTATTTGAAATTAATACTAATCATTTTAATCTTCAAGAACAATAAATATTATAATAATTAAATAAATTTTTGCAGGGCCATAGCAACTAATTATTGCGCTCGAGACAAAATTTTAAAATGCGCCAGTATAAAACTATAAATATAATAAATTAAGGTTAAAAACATTTTCACATTAAATATAAACGTATATTTTATCTTTTCATAAGTATTTTATAAACATTTGTTACTTATTTTATTAACTAAATTTTTAACGCTAATAATTTGATTTAAATCTGTAACATTTTAAATAGAATTTTACAAAAAAAAAATAGAAGGAACATATTAACCCTTAAACAGTCGCGTGGGGGTCTAGCATACCCCCACATAAATAATAACGGATGTATTATATTGCATAAAAGGTGTACATAGAAATAAATTTAGAAGATGGTTTTTATAGTAATATTGAATAGATTTTCATAAATACCTTCGAAGAAAAATGTATGACTTAAAATATCCATCAAAGTTGAAATGGGTCATATTGACCCCCCGCGACTATGAACGTTATAATTTTTTTTTTGGACTTGTATTTTTTTTTCAAAATATCGTTTTATCGTAAATGCAATTTTATAATCGATATAATATTGTGGAATTGGGATTATTATGTGGATCTGCGACCGTCTGTGCAATTAAGTTTTAAAAATAAATAATCTATTGAGAATTTCCACTACTCGATGATACGGAACAAATACGAACTAAACATGTAATAAATACATCCCGTCGTAATGTGGACACATTGATTATCGGTGCCTCATTTACAATTACCACTATTCACATTTACCCCTCCTGACCCTACTCGTATTATAATAATTAAATTGTATTGTAATATTAATAATAAAATAATTCAATTCAGAAAAATGATTACGTAAATGTAAAACTAGTAATTATAAGACATGTTGGAGCTCAAAGAAATACAAGAAAAATTAATAAAAATACATTTTGTAATAGTAAAAGCTTTTATTTACTGTCTTAAAAATAAGATTTTGCAGTTAAAATAATTTTTTTTAACAAAATTTTTAATAAAATTTTGAAAATTAAGTTTTTTTTTCCGTAATATAGTTTTTAGTAATGCACATAATTTTGTCATTTATTTATTTTTTAATTTTAATTTTTTAATTGTTATCCATATTTATATATCATATGGTAACAAATTACGTCTTTGAATTAAAAAAAATGAACTTTTTTATACATATTTTATACTTTTTTAGAAATTAGGTCTAATAGACCCCCACGCGACTATGAACGTTAAAAAAAGGTACGCGCCTGCTTAAGGGTTAATCATTTATCATTTATATGTCTGTGTCGCCCATTTGATTTATAAATTAAGTTTATTATTGTTATTAATTTTTACTCGTACCTATCTAGTTTACTTGTTAAATGAAAATATAAAGCATGGTTTCATAGGAGTTACATAGAAGTGATAGGGCAAAATAGACCACTCAATGTTAGGTTTTCTTAGAGATATTTTTGGATTTTTAAAATTACTCACTATATTGAAAATTCCCATAAAGTTAATGTTTTGGAATTGATAATGGCGGCAGCGTGATAAACGACGATCGAAATAACATTTGAACGGATGAAGGATAATATTCCCAATATACGTAAAATAAATAAGATGACCATTTTATAGCCGAGAGGTAGACACAGACTATGAGCATATATAATTTCATGAACTTTTTAATTTAAGGCGTCTGGGTACCGACCGCTTTTTAGTCAAAAACAACCCGTTTTTGTTCCATCAGTACGACGAAACTATTGATGCGATAAGAATTCTGAAAACATATCTGAATTCAGCATCATGTCACTTAGGTATCGGTCAGGCCATATTTTTGAAATTTTGATGTTTTTAACTCTTTATTACAGTTTTCATTTTCGAATAATTTTAAAATTTTCAAAATAATTTTTTTACGTTAAAGGAATCACAATTTCAAAAAAGTGGCCTGACCGATACCTAAGTGACATGATACTAAATTCAAATTTGTTTTCAGAATTCTTATCGCATCAGTAGTTTCGTCGTACAGATGGAACAAAAACGGGTTGTTTTGTACGCTCAAACTAATGGTTTTCAAACAGTAGCTGTTAAATGTGACATGCTCGTGCGCGTATGTGCGTTATCCGCAGCAGCTATTTTATTGCCCATAGAGTTGCATAGGACAAACCGACTGCCTAAAAATAGTTACAATGCATACTTGATATTATACCTGTATATATGATATTAGATCAAATGATATTAGATTATTTGCTCTTATCTTATTTGCAAACCTGTCATCATTACATAGTAAGAAACAAATTTTGTTGTTGTATTCCTATATAAGTGTCGCTAAAAAAATGGTAAGTCATAAAAAAATATCTGGTGAGGTACGAATATATAAAAATAATTTTCATACACTTTTTTAGTTTTAAATAAAAATTATTTATTCAGAGGATCCCGAATTAAATGATTCTCTTAGTATAAATACTGCAGTTGTTACTGCTACTTTGAATACTAGTCAGGGGCTTACAAATTGAGAACAGTTTTCTGCTGTACTAAATATGCCATGTATGAGTAATAAGACGTATCAAAAATATCACGATTATATTGCTAAGCAAACTGAAAAAACAGCATGGGATTCGATAGAGCTAACGGGGAAAGAAGAAACTAGGTTTGCAATTGAAAATGGATAAATGAATGATAAAGGACTTCCCATAAGAATAGACTTATAAAACTTAAATATTTTAGTGTGTAAATAATGTAATTTTGTAAATTGAATTCTTATAATTAAAATTAGTTTTTTTATAGTTTAAAACTTCAACATAATCGATGTGGATTTCATATGATTTAACTTGTTTTCTGTAAATATTTAGTTTTTCTTAATCGTCGAAAATAAATAGTTTAATTATTTTTATAATCAATTAAAATTTGTGAAATCATAACACGTTTATTAGTATTTACAGTGAGGCTGGTGCTAAACTATAGTTTTTATACTACATAAAATAAACGTGTGTCGTTATCAACATAATCGTATTGTATCAAAAAGTAGGCAGGTACACAGCCGGTTTTGTTAACGACTATAACACGACAAAAATTCTCCCAATAATGGACACTCACGCTAATAATCATTTATTTCTCACACAACGACACTGCGTAACATTTAAAAATTGCAAAATTGCCTATATTCGACCCCTGAAAAAAGGTCGGTACCCAGACGCCTTAATTTAGTTTAATAATCAATTTAAATATTTAATATATAGTAATTCTTAAATTTTAACAGTTCATTTTATATTTATTTTGTTACATTTTAAAATTAATTTTATTGAAAATATATACATTTTATCAATTAAAAAAAAAAAGTATGAACATTGACTCAGTTGATACATAATATGTATAATAAATATTGGAGTCTATGAATCCTATTTTTAATTTAGTTAAATTTTGGGATTATTAAAATTGTAGAAAGATTGGCACAGACAATAAATTTGATGACTGTATCATATATATATCGTAGCATAGATTTGAGAAAAAAATCAGTTTTTCTTGTTTTATTGATTAGCGCATTAAAGTATTCGAATTATAATTTTTTATTTCAAATTTTTTTTTACCTAAAACAACTATATTCCTACTTGCTCTGTATTTTTAATATAAATTTAAAATCATGAAATTGGAAAAGGTATTAAAAAAATGTGTCTCATTAACAATCCTGTTGAAGAAAAATTCAGAAGTCGCTAGTGGTTTACAATCGTAATATTTTATTTAATATTATATGGGCTAAGAATAGTAGTAGTTTGTAAATACACTAGTGCAGTAATTTGTAAGTTAGTCCCTAACCTTTATCACATTACTTTTGCAGTCTATATGATAAAAATAACCATAATTACTACTTAAATTTTGACTTATCAGAAAAACACTGTTAAAATTTAAAACTAGAATTTTTTAATTACACAACCTAATTTTATGTTATCTTAATCAATATACTTATTAATATGTAAACAATTATATAAAAAAAGAGGAAAGTTGACTCGTTCACCTTATAAAATTCTCAAAAATTAATTTAGGTTATATTTAATCCCTAATTATGCTTTATTTTTGAATACCTATGAAATTTTAGAACAAGAAACAAATGTAAAAGAAAATACTGATATTTAATATAATGTATCCTATAATTAAATCAGGCCTTTTCAATTTACTATTTTTTCAAAAATATTTCAAACAGCAGTTCTATTAGAGTATGAGTTTGAATTAAGAATTTACCAACAAAGTAAAAAAATATGAACAGCTATTGTTAAAGGCCATTATAAATTTATTGTAATATAGTCATTATATATATCATTATACAGATTTTTTGATAATTAATAATTTAAAAATATACCACTATACAACAATAAGTTAAAAATTGAAACTTTTTATCAAGGTAAAACATACATTCAAATTTTATGCTGAAAATTATTAATTTTGTAAATAACTTAAGAAGTTAGTTGAAATGGTGCAGCTAAACATTTTAATTCACAAATATTTTTATATGTACCCAGAAATGTTATTTCTATAAACATAGTAAATACTGTCTTAATGGTATACATTCATAAAAAACCAAAAATGAAACAGAAAAAAAAATGTCAATTGTTATACTGATGTATTAAATTCTCATATTCCTACCAGAAAACTCATATTGTAATAGATATATTACTAAAAAGTAATATAAAAAGACTAGGATTCATTTGTATTGTTCACTGCTGGTAAATTTTGATCATGATCAGTATCCATAGGTTCAGCATCATTAGATGTAGATAATTGAGGGTCATGTAAATTTCTAGCAGCAACAGAAGAATATGTAGACATGCCTGAAGTGGCTGGAATTTGGGTGGATGAAGAAGTGGACACAATAGGTAAAGGTAAACTTATACCAAGTTGTGATGGCCAATCTGATGATGTTGATGCCATGTCATATTCATTCATTCCCCAAACTGGATCACTATTACGTTGGCCTCTAGCTCTAAAATTAATAGACAATTAATGCACAACTTAAAATATAGTAATTTTTATATGTTTAATAATAATAATAACAAACTGATAATATTTATATGTGAACAACTGGAATAAATAAGAACACAAAACACAGTTTTTCTTCTTTTATAATATTATAGTAAAGAAATTATAATATTATTATACATATACAATATTAGGGGCGTGGTGATCACACTAGTTGTTGACAACACTCTAATGTTAAGCTGTGCCTACCGCCATAGGTGAACGGATGGGTGATCCTGCGTGCGCTTCTATGATGATGAAAAAGCACTATATTCTCAGTGTAGAAGGCAATGGGAAACCACTGCACTTAATTTCCCTAGGATATTAGCTATGATAAGGCTTAGCCTTTAGAAAAGAAGAAGATACAATATTACTCAAATTATATATAAACATAATATTTATAAAACATATATAATATAAATAAAACACTAAAACATAATTAAACGACACAAAAACACATCTTTGCTGAATTCAGTTATGGGTCATTCATGAAAAAATGTATCTTTTTGAATAGGTTGTGAATAATAGGAGTTAATCGGATCACAAAATAAAAATAAATTGTTTAATTATTCATTTAATTTTGTGCAATACATTGTACACAATGATATATAATCCATTAATTTATTGTACATATCGGTTAGAACTGATATCTATAAACCATAACTATAGATAGATCTAACGATCTATCTATAATCATTGAAATAATAAATATATAATAATTCCAAATATCACTATTTTTTTTTTTAAGCCATCTATTACTTTGAAATAACATAACATATTTAATATATATTACATTTTATAATAATATATATTATTATATAGAATATAATATGTATTTTTAACTTTTAAGTCAAACTTTTCTTAAAAATATAAAAATGAAAACAAAAGATACTCTAAATGTATTCTTCAAAAATATAATATTTTTTTTAAGAAAACTCTTTGGGGGTGATATCATGATTTAAAATAACCATTAAAAAAGTGCATAAGATTACCAACTTGTCTCTTTAAATTAAAATAAAGTTTTTTTTCAATTTAAGACTACTGCAAAAATTGATAATTTAGTTGTTGTTGAGAGATGTTAAACCNCTCTTTAAATTAAAATAAAGTTTTTTTTCAATTTAAGACTACTGCAAAAATTGATAATTTAGTTGTTGTTGAGAGATGTTAAACCCTCATAGCTCTTTAAAGCTTTTGTAAAATATAATATTCATAATTTAATTTCTCAATAATACTTCTTTTATGATAAAATTCTATTCATAATACAAGAAAATTGTATGAATTTATTATCTTATTTGGTAAAGCAATTCATCTGTCAATATAAATTTATTATTTCTGACTTACAAGTTAATGTTCCTCACATAATTTGTATTTGAGAAAATGTCATATAATCAGTTTATGCCGAGTAGTATTATTAATTATAAATCAGTTATTATAGTTTGTATTACAACAAAATTAAGTTTTAAATATTTTTGCGACAGAAACACTTTAAATAGTTTGAAAATAATGAGATTTTAATTTGACAAGACATTTTCTTCTAGATCTGTAACCGTTTATTGATCAATGATTTCTGACAAGCTCCCAAATTATGTGAGAACAACAGGCAACAATAAGAACAAAAAATAGTTTTTCTCTTTTTAAATATTATAAAAATAAAATTATAATATTATTACACATATAAAATATTATTAAAATTGTATATAAGCTATATAACATTTATAAAAACATAGAAATTAAATAAACGACACAAAAACATATCTTAACCGACTTATGATTCATACAACACTGTTGATGGTAGATGATACCATCGCCACATATTTCATCTTTGACCGTCTTCACATCAACAGTATATATAAATACTTAAGACTTAGTAGAAAATATATTTAGTATTTAATGCTGAATATCATACTAACCTAATAAGTGCTGCTAAGTTTGGACCAACACCCAGGCTGATTCCATTTAGTGGGTCAGAATTAATTGAACCTAATCCATCATCAGCTAAATACTTACGACAAATCGGGCACGTTCCATGCTAAATTATAACATATAAAAATAATTATATACAAGAAAAACCAAAAATAAACTTTGTTATAGCCTGAAAGTTAAGTTATTGTAAGACCTTCAAAATGAAATAAAATTTATTGTTAGTTAATTTCTATACTTAATAATCTATTTCTATAGTGACGTATTTTCTTAATAAATAAAATTAATTNTTTATAAATAATATATTTTTCTTTTTTTTTATTAAATCATAATTATAATTTAAAAAAATTAATTTAAGTTTAAAATTTAAAAAAATTCTTTAAATATATAATTTATATTGCTTCATTTTTTAGTTGTGCCCTTAAAAACCTACCTCCTGAGGTATTCTCACCCAATGCTTCCATTAAATGTGGCCCCATATAAGGGTTATTATCAGAATACAATTTTTTATTATAATAATAATTATTATAAAAAATGATTATTAGATTAAAAATAATAAGCTAATTAAAAAAAATTACAATATTTTCTTAGTAAGGTATATCCACATATCTATTTTTTTATTAAAGGAATTAAGATAAACATTACCTAGGTGATCTTGAGAAATTTGAGCTGTTGGTATGTCTTGGATTTTTTCTTTAGTTAATGGTGGTGGTCCTGCTCCATCAATTTGATTTAATAATTGTGATACAATTGAATCTAATCCATCTCTTCCCCATACATAGTCTCCAGGATTACCAAGTAAAAATCTACTGCTGGAGTCATAGATTAGCACATTTTTACTCAAATATACTATGATAAATAATAATACTCTACTTACACTGGACCAGTAGCTCCACGGGAATTGGCGTAATCAGCAAAATTGACTATTACATCTTCAACTAAATTTTCAATAGTACCACTTCCTGAGCTTCGCCTAGGGCCTCTATAATAAAATATCAAATGTTTCATTATAATTGGATTATTAGATCAGACTAGAGACATTTTTAGATGTCAGTGGGTACTTAAGTTAAATGGTGCCAGTATAAGACAACAAGACTTTGTCTTCACATATCCTAATTACAAATTAATATAACATTGATTAAAAAGTAACACTACCTATCTCATTTTTGTCAATTTTACAGGGAAACAAAAAACAGTTTTCTATTAAATTGATAGTACCTAGGATGCTATCTATTGATTTTATCAAAAATCTGAGTCTATCATTTGATTCTCTATGAAAATTTACTTATAACATGTGGAAAGCATAGTGTTCAAACTCATTTTGATCAAAATGTGAGATGGGTGGTGTTGCTTCTTAAGCAACAATAAGTCAAATAATTTTCATACAATTATTCTAGCACTAGTAAATCAAGAAATCAAAATTTAAGGATTGTTTATTGGAGATTATTTTGCAATTACAACTACATTATTTAAGAATATCAATAGATAAAATAGAAAGAGCAACTTCGCATTTAGAGTAAATAAATAATTAGTAACTTTTACTTTCTAATACAATTGTGCCTCTTTCTTACAACTATTATTCTGAGATATTTAAATTATAAAATATTTTTATTAGATTGCATACTCACTAATTAAGGAGAATCATTAATATATAGATCTATAGTTTTAAGAAAGCTTGTTTTTACATACTAAAAATTCAATGTTTATATTAGTGATGGGAAATATCGAATAGAAACTATCGAACTATTCGATAGTCATTCAAAAAATATTCGATAGTTACACAATATA